CTGGTAGAATCAGGTGCTTAGATACAGAGAGAGAAGCTCTTCTCAGTTCAAAGAAGAGCTTGTCGATGAATAGGGCCTACTCTCTTCTTGGGAAACGACTGAAGATAAGAAGGATTGTTGCCAATGGAGAGGCGTCCGTTGCCAAAATGAAACTAATAACGTAGTTGAGCTAGATCTTCAAGGCTCATTTGATGGTCCTAAGCTGCTAAGAGGTAATATTAGCCCCTGGTTGATTGAATTACAACATTTGAGTTATCTAGACCTCAGTTATAACAATTTCAATTTCAGCCAAATTCCAACATTTATTGGCTCCCTACACAGATTACAATGTCTTGATCTTTCCCATTCTAATTTTAGTGGGCCAATCCCATATCATTTTGGCAACCTTTCTGAATTGCAAGTGCTTGCTGTTCGCTCAGATAATGGGCTGATAACTAGCACAAACCTCGATTAGCTTTCTCAATTTCAATCATTAAGAGGCCTTGATCTGAGTTATGTTAACCTCACACAGGCAACCAATTGGCTGGAATCAATAACTAAACTAAGTCAACTTGAAGTGCTATACTTGGCAAGATGTTGGTTACCAGCAGTCAATCCTCCATCACCTCACATGATCAATGCTTCTAAGTCTCTTTATATCATTCATCTTGCGGGTAATGAGCTATCCTCTTCAGTATTCTCTTGGTTGTTTACCTTCAGTAGTAGCCTAAGTCACATTGATCTCAGTCACAACAATTTACAAGGTCCCATTCCTGATGCTATTGGGAATATCATTTCCCTTGCGTCTCTTCATCTCTCTGGAAATCAACTCGAAGGTGGCATTCCTATATCATTTGGGGATCTGAGTAGTTTAAGGGAATTATATTTGTCTGATAACCATCTTAGTGGGATTCTGACCGATAAAATTGGAAGTCTTTCCAAACTCGAGATTTTGTATCTTAGTTCAAACCACTTCGAAGACAATATCACTGAAGCTCATTTCTTTAATCTCTCCCAGTTACATACACTAGATTTGTCTTCCAACCCTCACATCTCTTTCAATTTCAACTCTGGATGGAATCCTCCTTTTCAGTTAAGAGATCTATTGCTGGGGGGTTGCAAAGAAGGGCCACATTTTCCCGCAAGGGTAGGAGATTGTTTTCCAGATTTGGTCCTCTTAAGTCTACGGTCCAACGAGTTCTTTGGAACTATTNAGTAGGGCCACATTTTCCCGCATGGCTTAGAACACAAAAGGAATTAAGTGAACTGGATCTCTCCAATACTGAAATTGACGACAACTTGCCTAGTTGGTTTTGGGATCTATGTCCCAAATTAATAGGTTTGAACTTATCACATAACAACATTCGTGGCGTCCTTCCTGATTTATCGTCAAAGTTCTCCAATTTCTATTATATAGATTTGAGTTTTAACCATTTTAGCGGCTCACTACCTATTTTGCCTCCTAATGGATTTATACTCGATCTATCAAGTAACGAATTCTCGGGATCCATCACTGGTTATTGCAATATAACTGATTGGAATTTTCTTGACCTCTCGAACAACTTATTGTCGGGACAACTTCCAGATTGTTTTGCAAATCAATCGAACTTGATTTTTCTTAGTTTGGCACATAATTATCTCCATGGTAATATCCCTTCGTTAAATATCACTTATTCGGTGCATTTACAGAGTAACAGTTTTACTGGAGAAATTCCAAAATCATGGAGGGATTGTACATCTTTACGTTTCATTGATCTTTCAAAAAATAAGTTGTCTGGTAAAATACCAACGTGGTTAGGAGATTGTTTTCCAGATTTGGT